TTTCCTAGTGGACACTTATGCATAACCGAATCACGTGTTTTTTTGTGAATATTCTTGCATGTTAGGCTCTGTCATGCGTGACAGTGCTTAAATACGACAGCCAGGGCCCAGATTCACGAAGCAGTTACGCAAGCACTTAATAACCTGTACATCTTTTCTCAATCTTTGGCGGCTTTGTTTACAATTATTAAACAGTTAATGAGCTCCGAAGCACCAGGAGGCTGTTTATAACAATAACAACAGTTGCTTGGTAAGTTTTCATGCTTGTAAACTGTTTAATAAATGTAACCAAAGCCGTCAAAGATTGAGGAAAGATGTACACGTTCGTAAGTGCTTGCTTAACTGCTTCGTGAATCTGGCCCCAGGTTCGTAAGTGCTTGCATAACTGCTAAGTGAATCTGACCCCAGGTTCGTAAGTGCTAGCGTAACTGCTACGCGAATCTGACCCCAGAAGACTTACTTAATAGAGACCTAGAGATTCAAGCAGCGAATCTCTAGGTCCAAGCTGTGACTGCTTTGCGATTCAAGCTGTAAGACTTTACGTGTAGTACGCTCGTTAGTGGTCGGCCCTTTCACCACCAACAACCAATGGGTGCCACAGCTCTGGGGTGCCAATGTAAGGGTGCCAGTGACACCAATAGTAAGAACTGGAGCAGCTTTCAACCATCTGATAAGGGCAGGAAATCTCCTCACGATCATTGCCTTAATGATATCGTCGATATCAGTTGATATAGAAAGTCACTGAGCATTATATAGTCACTGAGTCATTATACACAGCCACTGAAGCATTATACACAGCCACTGAGGCATTATACACAGCCAGTGAGTCATTATACACAGCCAGTGAGTCATTATACACAGCCACTGAGGCATTATACACAGCCACTGAGGCATTATACACAGCCACTGAGGCATTATACACAGCCACTGAGCATTATACACAGCCACTGAGCATTATACACAGCCACTGAGCATTATACACAGCCACTGAGCATTATACTCAGCCACTGAGCATTATACACAGCCACTGAGCATTATACACAGCCACTGAGTCATTATACACAGCCACTGAGGCATTATACACAGCCACTGAGGCATTATACACAGCCACTGAGTCATTATACACAGCCACTGAGGCATTATACACAGCCACTGAGTCATTATACACAGCCACTGAGGCATTATACACAGCCACTGAGCATTATACACAGCCACTGAGCATTATACACAGCCACTGAGGCATTATACACAACCACTGAGTCATTATACACAGCCACTGAGGCATTATACACAGTCACTGAGGCATTATACACAGCCACTGAGGCATTATACACAGCCACTGAGGCATTATACACAGCCACTGAGGCATTATACACAGCCACTGAGGCATTATACACAGCCACTGAGGCATTATACACAGCCACTGAGGCATTATACACAGCCACTGAGGCATTATACACAGCCACTGAGTCATTATACACAGCCACTGAGCATTATACACAGCCACTGAGCATTATACACAGCCACTGAGCATTATACACAGCCACTGAGCATTATACACAGCCACTGAGCATTATACACAGCCACTGAGCATTATACACAGCCACTGAGCATTATACACAGCCACTGAGCATTATACACAGCCACTGAGCATTATACACAACCACTGAGTCATTATACACAGCCACTGAGGCATTATACACAGCCACTGAGGCATTATACACAGCCACTGAGGCATTATACACAGCCACTGAGGCATTATACACAGCCACTGAGGCATTATACACAGCCACTGAGCATTATACACAGCCACTGAGCATTATACACAGCCACTGAGCATTATACACAGCCACTGAGGCATTATACACAACCACTGAGTCATTATACACAGCCACTGAGGCATTATACACAGCCACTGAGGCATTATACACAGCCACTGAGGCATTATACACAGCCCAACTTGTCCTCCTAAGGTCTCCCCAACGTCAGGAAACTGACGTACTAAAGTGACCTTATCCTAACCTACCAGAGGACCCACAACAGAAAACGGGACAGTACGTCACTTTCGCCAGCCGCTTCCGTTTTCTAGTACGACGATTTTTGGCCTAGTGTAACGTACACGTGCGAAAAACGACGTTCTATGTACGATCCCGTCCACGGTCTCATTATCCGTTATATGGAGTGAATGTTTATAGCCTACTCAATTACGCAAGCACTTACGAACCTGGGGTCAGATTCACGAAGCAGTTACGCAAGCACTTACGAACCTGGGGTCAGATTCACGAAGCAGTTACGCAAGCACTTACGAACCTGGGGCCAGATTCACGAAGCAGTTACGCAAGCACTTACGAACCTGGGGCCAGATTCACGAAGCAGTTACGCAAGCACTTACGAACCTGGGGTCAGATTCACGAAGCAGTTACGCAAGCACTTACGAACCTGGGGCCAGATTCACGAAGCAGTTACGCAAGCACTTACGAACGTGTACATCTTTCCTCAATCTTTGACGGCTTTGGTTACATTTATTAAACAGTTTACAAGCATGAAAACTTGCCAATCAACTGTTGTTATTGTTATAAACAGCCTCCTGGTGCTTCGGAGCTCATTAACTGTTTAATAATTGTAAACAAAGCCGCCAAAGATTGAGAAAAGATGTACAGGTTCGTAAGTGTTTGCGTAACTGCTTCGTGAATCTGGCCCCAGGTTCGTAAGTGCTTGCGAACTGCTTCGTGAATCTGGCCCCAGGTTCGTAAGTGCTTGCGTAACTGCTTCGTGAATCTGGGCCCAGCACTCCACCTCTAGTCTATCCGTGACCTCTTGAGGTCACACCTGTTGACGGCTGGGGTCACACCTGTTGACGGCTGAGGTTACACCTGTTGACGGCTGGGGTCACACCTGTTGACGGCTGGGGGTCACACCTGTTGACGGCTGGGGGTCACACCTGTTGACGGCTGGGGGTCACACCTGTTGACGGCTGGGGGTCACACCTGTTGACGGCTGGGGTCACACCTGTTGACGGCTGGGGTCACACCTGTTGACGGCTGGGGTCACACCTGTTGACGGCTGGGGTCACACCTGTTGACGGCTGGGGTCACACCTGTTGACGGCTGGGGTCACACCTGTTGACGGCTGGGGTCACACCTGTTGACGGCTGGGGTCACACCTGTTGACGGCTGGGGTCAAATATTGGTAAATATCATTCTTGCTACAAAATTTGAGTTGGTAGATTTCTTTTCAAGAATGACTTCAAACTGATTTTTCAATTGTTTGATCATTCTTTGCGGTTTGGTTCACAGTTGTGAGAAAGGCAACCCGTTCTCGCATACAAAGATCCAAGCTCGTTAATCCAGCCGCCAAACCCCCTGTTTGTGAATGAAAAGTGGATTACACACGACTGATGACGTCCGAACACTTCCGGAACAAGTGCTTTGCTCACGTCCTCTGTTCGAACCACTATTCTGTAAATGCTTCACCCACGTTTTTCAAATACAAATAATCGCCAACGAACATAAACACCTACGCCTAACTATACGTCGAATTTTTATGTATAATATTATTAATTAATATGTGACAACAAACTAATTTTTAATACACAGTAAGTTAAGATTGATGGATGCGTGTGGGGAGGACGGCCGCTACTTTATACAGCCTAGTGTGAGGACGGGTTGATTCAGCGGTCGACCCCACAGACGCATTCATAAATTTTAACATGCTGTTCATTCAAAACGGGAATTTTCTTATATAAATTAATATTATAATATGTTAGCATATTGTGCATATAAAGGCATAAGATAGGTTAGGTGTTTAGGTTCTGTTGGTGATTATTTGTATTTGTAGTACGTGGGTGAAGCATTTACAGCGTTGTGATTCGAACACAAGTCGTCAGTGAAGCACTTGTTCCGGAAGTGTTCGGACGTCATCAGTTGTGAGTCGTGTGTAAAACGTTTTTCTTTCATAAACAGCTGAGGGTTTGGCGGGTGGATGGAATAACTTTTGGGTCTTCATTTGGAGGACGGGTTGCCGAGAAGGCAGCAAGGCTCCCGCTGTGGTCCAGGAATACTGCTTCAGTTAGGCAAAAACAGTGAGTATTCAACTTTGGATTGAGAATCCAATCCTAGGAAGGGGATTGTCAGTGAGGCTTTCACTTGGGTTCATAAATTCAGCCCAGGTCAGTAGGAGAGAGTTGGTGTTGCTTGTGTTGGTGTCTACGGTGAGAGGGGGGGGGGGTGATGTGGGGCTCCAGCTGGGCCAGATTCACGAAGCAGTTACGAACCTGTACATCTTTCCCTCAATCTTTGGCGGCTTTGTTTACAATTATTAAACAGTTAATGAGCTCCGAAGCACCCGGAGGCTGTTTATAACAATAGCAACAGTTGATTGGTAAGTTTTCATGCTTGTAAACTGTTTAATAAATGTAACCAAAGCCGCCAAGGATTGAGGAAAGATGTACACGTTCGTAAGTGCTTGCGTAACTGCTTCGTGAATCTGGCCCCAGGTTCGTAAGTGCTTGTATAACTGCTTGTTGACGCCAGATTCAAGGGATACAGGCCCGTGCACCTCTCATTGAACTTATCATAAAATATCTGCCTCACTTTCGCGTTTTCTTGTATTTAGCGAAATATAATTATTCTACACCGTTGATAAATACTCCAGAACTGCTCACTGAAATAGCAATTACCGATGTTTATGTATGAGGAATATAGAAAAGCTTCGTATCAGAATCATAAATCTAAAACGTTCTGTGGTTTTCAACAAAATGTTTAAAAACAAGACTGCTACCAAAATATACGAGGCTATCGCCTCGTACCAACTTGCCAAAGCGGTTGGGCTTCCACCGCGATATCCCAGTATAAGGACTTAGAGGCAAATGAGAAGAGAAAGTGCCAGATGTTGCTAGTCTGCAGGGAAAGGCACGCTTTCCTTTCCCTTTTCATCTTTAGGTGACTTTCTAAGCGCAAGAAACAAATGCAATAGATGATCAAGGTCATTATGTATTTAGGTCAGAAGCATTTATGAGATTGATGAAGAAATGCTACTTTATTACGCGCTACTTTATCACGCGTTACTTTATCACGCGTTACTTTATCACGCGTTACTTTATCACGCGTTACTTTATCACGCGTTACTTTATCACGCGTTACTTTATCACGCGTTACTTTATCACGCGTTACTTTATCACGCGTTACTTTATCACGCGTTACTTTATCACGCGTTACTTTATCACGCGTTACTTTATCACGCGTTACTTTATCACGCGTTACTTTATCACGCGCTACTTTATCACGCGCTACTTTATCACGCGTTACTTTATCACGCGTTACTTTATCACGCGTTACTTTATCACGCGCTACTTTATCACGCGCTACTTTATCACGCGTTACTTTATCACGCGTTACTTTATCACGCGTTACTTTATCACGCGTTACTTTATCACGCGTTACTTTATCACGCGTTACTTTATCACGCGTTACTTTATCACGCGTTACTTTATCACGCGTTACTTTATCACGCGTTACTTTATCACGCGTTACTTTATCACGCGTTACTTTATCACGCGTTACTTTATCACGCGCTACTTTATCACGCGCTACTTTATCACGCGCTACTTTATCACGCGCTACTTTATCACACGCTACTTTATCACACGCTACTTTATCACAAGGGTGTGGCCTTGTCGTATAGACCTACACAAGTATATTTTATATATATGCAATACAAACATTCATTCATCACACGCTACTCTAACACACCCAACTTAATCACACACTACTCTAACACGCTACTTTATCACGCTACTTACAACTACAACGCTACTTTTATCGCACACGTATTCATCTCATTCTAGGTCAGTGTGAGGAAATGACTATACCTGAGGACCTTGTTGCAAGGTGTCTGCGGGCATTGCAAGCTTGACACGCATTCCCTTGCAGGGTAGAACATATTGTGCACGCTTTCCCTTTCATTGTCTTCGAACGATTCTTCGCGGCAGGGGATCGTATTCCAGGGACCATAGGATTAAGGACTTGCCCGAAACGCTACACGTACTAGTGGTTGTACAAGAATGTAACAACTCTTGTATATATCTCAAAAAAAAAAAAAAAAAAAAAAAAGTTATTGAAGTGTTGTGGTCAGCGGGTGTAAGCGAAGTAGGGCAATTATTGCATTATGAGAATGCCGTGCAACATGGAACAAACGCTTAGAATGCGACGTTCATGCCTGAATGAATATTTATGGCGTGTGCATTCTGGCCGGGGAGTTAATAGCCAATGAATGCATGGCATTGAGCTTGTTAGGGACCGCTGAACTAGATCCATACTCAGATGGTTCAGTTACCCCGTCAAGCAGTGGTTCGGGCGGGAGAAAACGGGAGTATTGGAGGGTGTGGCTAACTTGACCAAACAGGTATATAGAGCTTGCTCAATCGCCAATAATCTGGTTCCAAACTCTGTTTTTTTTCCCCCAAGGATTCAGAGGTGACTATCCTGTAGCCTTATGTAACGCTACGGAGGATGTAACAAGTGATTTGTATTGTAATTATTAGTCTATGATTGGTCTATATATCCCTCGTAATGAATTCAGTTCAGCTAGTGAGACCAGAGATATCTTGAGGTTATCTTGAGATGATTTCGGGGCTTTAGTGTCCCCGCGGCCCGGTCCTCGACCAGGCCTCCACCCTCAGGAAGCAGCCCGTGACAGCCGACTATCACCCAGGTACCTATTTTACTGCTAGGTAACAGGGGCATAGGGTGAAAGAAACTCTGCCCATTGTTTCTCGCCGGCGCCCGGGATCGAACCCGGGACCACAGGATCACAAGTCCAGCGTGCTGTCCGCTCGGTCCTCGGCTGGGGACCTGGGGGTTGGTCAGAGAGACCTGCTCACTGACCAAAGCAGGGCTCAGGTTAGCTAGACTGTCTTGGCTACGTGCTCAACCGGCTGTAATGTTAATCTGACGAGGCTCAGCGCGATCTTTCACGCTTAATAACTTGTACCGTTAAGCTGTTGCATAAACTGATAGTCGAAACTAATAGGTGATCCCCATCATGGTGAGCATTATGAAACTGTTTCTTTAGTCACTTCCCTCTCTCTTTAGCCCCTTTCCACAACCCAAGCCAGTCGGAGCCTCGGGGAGCCGAGCGGACAGCACGCTGGACTTGTGATCCTGTAGTCCCAAATTCGATCCCGGGTGCCGGCGAGAAACAAGGGGCAGAGTTTCTTTCACCCTATGTCCCTGTTACCTAGCAGTAAAATAGGTACCTGGGTGTTAGTCAGCTGTCACGGGCTGCTTCCTGGGGGTGGAGGCCTGGTCGAGGACCGGGCTGCGGGGACACTAAAGCCCCGAAATCATCTCAAGATAACCAAGATAACCCATTGCCCCTCTTCCCTCTCGCACTTCTTAAACTCTCCTCCTTTCCTCTCTCGGGAAGTGCCACATTACGTACAGCAAAGTCGCAAAACTCTATGGAAAATGAAACCACACTTTGACTTCATAGGATTAGTTGGGAGTCACATTAGGAGCTGACACACTTTAAAAAAGCATATGGAGGTCGACTATGGTCCGCCTGTGACACTCCCAATGCAGTCGCAAATCACCATGCAAAGTTGAGTAAGACTAGCCCTATGCGTCTGGCCTGCAACAAGCAAATAAACAGATATGCACTGCATGAAGTGCATGCAGTTATATCTCTCATCTTGGCCTGAAGTGTATGCAGTTATATCTCTCATCTTGGCGTGAAGTACATGCAGTTATATATCTCATCTTGGCGTGAAGTACATGGTTATATCTCTCATCTTGGCGTGAAGTACATGCAGTTATATCTCTCATCTTGGCGTGAAGTGCATGCAGTTATATCTCCCATCTTTGCCTGAAGTACATGGTTATATCTCTCATCTTGGCCTGAAGTACATGGTTATATCTCTCATCTTGGCCTGAAGTACATGGTTATATCTCTCATCTTTGCCTGAAGTGCATGCAGTTATATCTCTCATCTTGGCCTGAAGTGAATGCAGTTATATATCTCATCTTGGCCTGAAGTGAATGCAGTTATCTCATCTTGGCCTGAAGTGAATGCAGTTATATCTCTCATCTTGGCGTGAAGTACATGGTTATATCTCTCATCTTGGCGTGAAGTACATGGTTATATCTCTCATCTTGGCGTGAAGTACATGGTTATATCTCTCATCTTGGCCTGAAGTACATGGTTATATCACTCATCTTGGCCTGAAGTACATGGTTATATCTCTCATCTTGGCGTGAAGTACATGGTTATATCTCTCATCTTGGCGTGAAGTACATGGTTATCTCTCTCATCTTGGCCTGAAGTACAGTCATCTCTCATCTTCCCCTGTATTTGTCCTGCCATACATTTTGCATTTTGAACAATTGGGTACAAAAGATTGTCATGCAAACTCAACATTTGTAGTCATATTTCGTGGAGTATGAATATCCCACAAGGAACAGATATTTCTCCTACTCTGAAGTGTTCGCCTTGACCTATAGGGAACGTGCCTTGCGTTAGATTTCCTGAACATAAGCTACCAAATGATTTTATTAAACTTGTTTTGACCCAAAATGATTTCGAATGGAAAAGAGAGTTCAGTAGAAACCTGCTCTGTATGAAGGGTATCTTGAAGGTTCCTGTACGTCTCAATAAATGAAATAGAGTATTAAAGACCCTTGGAATGTATAATAATATGGATTCTATAGAGTCTATAATCTATAGACTAATCCATGAATAGAGTTCTATTCATGGGTTTCTATAGAGTCTTAAACACCAACTTTCATTTTAAACTGTTGTGTGGCGATATTTATACGACACAAATTCTGAAACTTTAAGATATGTAGTTTTAACCGCAATCATTTTAAAGTAAGAAGTCGGGAATATGAAATTTTCGACATCAAGAGCGTTTCAAAATATTATATATTTAGTTTTCAATGGGAAATGTCATGAACTCTTAAGGCGGTCAGGCGCTGCCACGGAATTATAACAATATAGACAATGAGTAAATTTGAATCTAAAACAATTTATTTCTCGAATAAATTGTTTAAAATTCGCTTAGTTTTTTTTTGCCTATAGATGGCGTTGACCTTCAGTACAGAAAATCATTTTTATTTCTTGATTTGATCAGCAGACCAGTGTCTTGTTCCTGCCCCACCCTCCTGGTCACCGTTGGCAGTACTGGGAGCCGGTCGGCCGAGCAGACAGCACGCTGGACTTGTGATCCTGGGTTCGATCCCAGGCGCCGGCGAGAAACAATGGGCAGTGTTTCACCCTATGCCCCTGTTACCTAGCAGTAAAATAGGTACCTGGGTGTTAGTCAGCTGTCACGGGCTGCTTCCTGGGGGTGGAGGCCTGGTCGAGGACCGGGCCGCGGGGACACTGAAAGCCCCGAAATCATCTCAAGATAACTGGTGCACGAGCAAGAGGTGAAAGTTCAACATTTATCACAGAAAATCGCCCACATCCTGCAACACAGTATAAACAGATTAGAAATATCAGAACTCGCTTGTCTTGTACATTGTGCCTTCGTGAACTGCCTGGAAAATCACTTTCAGCGAGAGATGTAATAAACAGAAGCTGCTGAATCACTCTTAAACTGGCTCTCGAGCCAAACTTAATACATTTTCTGTGTGGTAGGGGTGAGGGAGAGTGGGAGGAGGAAGGAATGGATCAAGAGGATAGGGACGAGGGAATCAAGGGTGAGATTGGGGGATGGAGATACCCGGGTGCATATAAATACCCCTTTTATATACAATTAATAAAGATGTAGACCTGAAGATAGTGTATAGGGAAAATAGTGATGGTGTATAGTGATGATGGGGAGACAGGCAGGAAGATGGTGAGGATAGGGTGTGGACAGAGAGGTGGGGGTGTGGAAGCAATACTCTGGAGGGTGGTATGTGGAGAATGGAGAGGGCGTGTGGGCATGGCTTGGGTTCCAGGGAAACCCGGGTACTACCGGGTCAACCCGTTCTCGCACTTTCGTGTAGTCAATATTGACTTATTAAATACGTGCATATGTGACATACTAAACATACTAGTTTCCCTTGAAAAGCTTCATAGAAAACACCGACCTTATCTAACCTTCTTAGTATGTTAAGATAAGCATCTTATTGCTTCGTAATTACATTTATTACTTAACCTATTATAGGTATAGGTTAAGTAGGCTTTTCAAGGTAAACTAGTATGTTTAGTATGTCACATGTGCACATTTAATAAGTCAATATTGACTTATAAGAAAGTGCGAGAACGGGTTGACCGGGTACCAGCATGTACTATTAGTAGGTACCATGTACTAATACCCCCCCCCCCCATGTACATAAAGTATGAGAGACCTATAACTCTGCCCTTGGAGGACATGCAATAGTCCACCAAGGACTGAATGGTAAATGTGTAATGAACATATCCTGGTCAGCCTCTGTATGTGAATGAAAACATCTGAGGGGAAAAAAAAAGTTCCTCTATCACCCCTCACCTGGTTCCCTCACTTAGGTAGATGCAGGTGAAGATCTATTATAAAAAGAATCCCTTATACTCCTGATACTGGCTTACCTGGCTTAAGGGAGCCGGTCGGCCGAGCGGACAGCACGCTGGACTTGTGATCCTGTGGTCCCGGGTTCGATCCCGGGCGCCGGCGAGAAACAATGGGCAGAGTTTCTTTCACCCTATGCCCCTGTTACCTAGCAGTAAAATAGGTACCTGGGTGTTAGTCAGCTGTCACGGGCTGCTTCCTGGGGGTGGAGGCCTGGTCGAGGACCGGGCCGCGGGGACACTAAAGCCCCCGAAATCATCTCAAGATAACCTCAAGATAACCTCAAGATAACCTACCTTTTCCCCCATACCTGCTAGGTTTCTCCTGCGACAGCTGGCCATGACTTTACACCCTTCAATACTGGAGTCAGATTCACGAAAGCACTTAGG